GATCTACGATCAAGAATTGTTGATTTACATAAAGCTGGAAAGGGTTATAAAGTGATTTCAAAGACTTTAGAAATTCACCAGTCTACAGTTAGGCAAACGATCTACAAATGGAGACACTTTGGGATCGTGGCTACTCCACCAAGAAGTGGGCACCCAGTCAAAATGACACCAAGAGCACAACAAAGACTCATCAATGAGGTAAAGAAACAACCTGGAGTGAACCAAAGATTTGAAGGCATCATTGGAACTGGATAACATCTGTGTTCATGAGTCTACAGTAGATAAAACATTGAACAAGCAGGGTGTCTATGGCAGGACACCATGAAGGAAGCTGCTGTTTATTAAAAAGTTTGCGAAAGAGCACATTGACACTCCACAGCGGTACTGGCAAAACATTTTGTGTACTGACGAAACTAAGACTGAACTATTTGGGCACTGCATATCATGATGAAAACATCACCCCAACCGTAAAGTATGGTGGAGGAAACATCATGATTTGGGCCTGCTTTGCTGCATCAGGGCCTGGCCAGCTTGTAATCACTGAGGGGAAGATGAATTCCCAAGTGTATCAAAAGAATTCTTCAGGATAATGTGAGAATGTCTGTACGTCAGCTGAAACTCTGTAGAAGTTGGGTGATGCAACAGGACAATGACCCAAAACACTGGAGCAAGTCCACAACAGAATGGCTTCAGAAAAACAAAATCCACCTTTTGGAGTGGCCAATGGAGCCCAGACCTCAACCCAATAGAGATGCTACAGAATGACTTGAAGAGAGCCATACACATGAGACGTCCAAAGAATATGACAGAGCTAAAGCAGTTCTGCAGGAAGAATGGGCTAAAATTCCTCCTGAATGATGTGCAGGTCTGATCCACAGCTACAGGAAGTGCCTGATTTGAGGTTATTGCTGCCAAGGGGGAGTCAACCAGTTATTAATTCCAACAGTTCACTAACTTTTTCCACTACCATTTTGAATGTTGAATGATTGTGTTTCATTAAGACATGAAAGTTCAGAATTTTTTTTGTGTTGTTTTTGTAGGTACATTATATTTGTCAATACTCTTGCCTTGGATAACGATCAGATCACATTTTATGACAAATTAATGCAGAAAACCATGAAATTCCAAAAGGTTCACATACTTTTCCTTGCCACTAACAAAAAGTAGAAAACATGGAAAGGTCTGAATACTTTCTGAATCCACTGTATGTATCAGTCCACTGTATATCATGTACATTTTTAGTATCATCTCAATGAACAAACATTCACATACCGATATGGTGGGTTATTCCAGGCCATTCCTCACTTTGTACTCATGCACATCTCTGCTGTGCTGCCTGAAGAGCTACAGGAAGAAGATGACAAAGACACAACTCATGTACCAACTTGTTATCAGAGGTTTGATCACATTAAACCATATCTTATCACAATCTGAAATTCTTCACTATCATGCATATAAGAGTTTGTCATAAGCAGGACAAATTTAGGATTGCATCAGAGCTCTTTTTACTGCTACCCGCAATTAAATAAACTGTTTTGCAACAAAATAATGAAACTGTAATGCAGTGTAAGACTATTAAAAACAAAACTAACCAACACTGTGAAAGCCCAATGAACTGTCCCTTTTATGATGAGCACATCACACTAAAGCAATTATTGCTTGCTGCTCATTGATGCGCTCTCTGAGTGAATGGTACGTGCTGTATGAGGACATGATTCAGAAATAAAGAAATGAATCTTGTTAAAGGCATGTATATATTTTTACCCTGGAAAATGTAGGCACAGAACTCTCAAAACAACTAAGTAATTTGACAGATTATATACAATGCTACAATTATCTACATGAAAGAGTGCGGTCACTTACCAGGCCCCAAATAAAAACTGATGTGCCAAAGGCCAAGCCCACTCGAAACCAGTTGGGGTTTGCTGTGTCAGGCTTAGATCCTCTGAATAAAGACCTGCATCCACCTAAAAAAATACAAACACCAAAACAGCATGAAGAACCACACTGTTTTAAAGAAAAATGAACGTTGTCTTTGCATTGTTTCAGTATCAGTGTGACATGATTAGAATTAATCGTTGTAAATCCAGTATACGTTGACTTGAGACCACTAACAAAGCTATGATTCGCCTGTTACTGTTGCACTTCAATAATTCTGTATATCAAAATTTACTCTAAGTTTAGTGGAAATGGCTGTAACAGTGGAGTTATTAGATTTAAACAAAGCTCATATTTTCACAAAAACAAATTAAGTTCTCTTTCAAATGTGGGTTTTCCAATTAGCAGAGCCGCCCAACTTCTGAAAGATACGCTATTTAACATGCACACCAATCTAATAGTACGTGTGGACAACAATTGGGGTTTCACCCTTACAATTACACTAAAATGAAAAAACATTTTTAGTTTCTGTCACCAGTGGGATTAAGACAAACATTAAGATACAATCCAATGAGTATCCGCAGCGCTACAAGATTGCTAAGCTAAGGTCAGACTTCAAACTAAACATGGCGTTCACGTTGTAAACAGCGACATAAAACACGTGCCCTTCAAAAACCCTAATCACAAATTAATTGCAATTATGTCACTATCTTACTATTGTTGACGAGAACAGCTCTAGATAATAACCGGGTGATAATCATTTTAGCTAAACACCAATGTCCGTCATCCGATTAGCGATCCGTGGTTGATTAAACTTCCTGACAGGACTACGTAGACGATCCCCGTTAACTCGAACGATGTGAACCTCCTAACATTTGATTAAATGACTTCTGAAGTAATATCTGTATTTTCCAATTTGAACCAAATGTAGTTTATCGGCGTTACAAGTAGAAGTATAAATGGGTTTGGTAGTTGACACATCAAATTCCATTAGAAAATTAATGATTTTTTTAATGCATACCTTGTTGGCAAACGTACACACACATATAGTACAAACATTTTTAAACCCATATGACGAACTCTTACATTTGTCTTATATTTCAGAAACCAAATGCATTTTTAAAACAAACAAACAAAGAATTAAAAAATATAATAAAATTGCCTGCAGTGGGGACAAATTACATTTTAACGGAAAATTGCTTTTTGGTAAGAAGTCTATATACTCTATTTTTCAGCCTGTCCAAATAATTATAAAATATTTTATACTTACTGGATAGATGTGATAATTTGTCAAGAAGCATATGCATCTTGTCCTGTTAAATTGACATAAAATCCAGTGGAAATTGTTCTGCAGTTCAATTGGTGGACACAGAAACATACTTGCACACTTTACCCAAACATAAGAAATATTATATTATTTTGCATAATTTTATTTTATGTATCATATAGTTAAACACTGTGTAATGCCATTCTCATTAAAAATCATTCGGTCCCCGACACCCGTGCTCGCCCACGTTTGACACTTTGAGACGCAGACTCAGGGATCGACTTGACCCGGAGGAGAAGCACATCGGCCATTTTGCTCGGAAGGGGGCCTCAGGTTTAACACGTGAGAGAGAGTGGAGGCTGAAGAGACTGAAACAGTCCAGGATCTCAGACTGCTAGAGGATATTATTCATGTGTGAACCGACAGAGGCATAGAAAGTTAACGCAATGCCCACAATCACTCTGCCGCCGAAAGAGAATGCTCTCTTCAAGAGAATATTGGTAGGCTAAATGACTGTTAGCTTACTAGCTAATGCTAGTTTGTCAAGTAGCCGTTAGTTCTAGCAGTCAGAGCATGTTGCTAGGGAGTTGCTACCGTACTGAATTAACCAAAACTTTTAGTACACCAAACGTATTATAATGATCGTGTCTCTTACTAACTAGCGATTCTAACAGTGCTATAAAGAAAACATTGGTTTGCTAACAACAAATTATGTGGTGTATTAGCTTTGGCCTTGCAACACAACCAAAGTAACTCATGTCAGTGACAAAGCTGCTATGACACATGACAGCCTTTTACAACTTATGTGGATAGTTGTATCACCTTTATAGTTAATATTTATTTTGTTGCACTGTCAATAAAGTTTAGCAATATTTCCTCGTATAGTCCCCCGAAATAGTTGTCAGTTCGAGCATTGCAGGTCAGCCGGTCCGCTAAGTTGCTACGCTTTCTTCTTTAATTTACAGCATAACGTGAACGGGAAGCGAAATGTAAACACACCAAACAAGTGTGGAAATCCTATGTTTTTCATAATATTGAGCCATTTATGGTAGCTGTCATGTATCGCATACTGCCAATAGTGTGTTAAGCTAATAAAACTGATGCTGCTCCTGGGTGTCTGAAGTGTTTGGCCTTCTGTCACTCAGAGTACATCTGTGGGGGGACGGGGAGTGTAATGTTTGATGTACTGAATCCGATGCTTTTCTCGCTCCTGTCAGGAGTTGCCAGTTACTTCTGCTAGTCACTGGAACACAGTTTCTATTCAGTACAGTTTCAATAATGTTGAAACCAGCTCTCTGAGGATTAGCCCCCAGCCAGTGACAAGCTGTTGGTCTCTTATGTAAAGTATTCTGTGTCCTTTTATGCAGAGATGTTATGAGCACAAGCAGTACAGAAATGGCCTGAAGTTCTGCAAGCAGATCCTGAGCAATCCAAAGTTTGCTGAACATGGAGGTAAGAGAATAGCTACTTGGCTTTCTTCCTGACACTAATCTAGTGGTCAACTATGAGAAACACTGCTTCACGGTCATCTTGATCCTACTGTGTTTAGAGGAGTGAGTTACTACTTGTTATGAAACGTGTGTGAACTGCATCCCTATATTATTTTTGCCACTGTGGGTTTACTTACTCCCAGTTTTAAATAAATGGGAATGAAAACTGTGAAAAAGCAGCTTTAGAAAATGCTTCAGTTTGACCTGGATTAGAGCCAAGAAATTCAGGTTCTCTAGGAGTGACTGATTTCTTAGTTAAGGAAATGTGTTCATGTTTTGTTATGATAAAAATATTACCTACTGCTGCTGCCTGATTGTTGTTCTGAAATCACATGTTCAGTGATCACATGTGGCTGTAATATGTTGCTCTCCACATAGTTGGTTTGCATATCCGCAGTACTTTTGACCATATACCATGATGTAGGTCACAGTACTGTATGTGCATTTCTGAGTCACTGAACAGTAGCCTAATTTCTTGAATTGTATTTGCACACCCTGGTTAATTTATTTGTGATTCTTAACCGTTCTTAGACTGTCAGTGACTTTGGTAACTTTAGTGGATTATTGATATACATTTCATATGAATTTAGATTGTTACTAATACTATTAGCAGTGCTGACTGTGTAATGCCAAATGATTTGTAGGGTGAACTGACTGTTTACCAACTGCTCACAAGACGTTAATGGTGTTCCATTGGAATGTAATGAAGTACATTTACTCAAGTACTGTACTTAATTACAGTATTTGTACTTTACTTGAGTATTTCCATTTTGTCCTTGGTCAGACTTAGACTTCACTACATTTCACAGACAGAAGTTGTACTTTTTACTCTACTGCATTTCTTTCTTAACTTTAGTTACCTTTCAGAGGTAAATGAATAAAACAAAATACAATATAATCATAAGCTTCCAGCACTATATAAAGTACTTCAAATTCTAAGTTTATACAGTAGTTAACATAAGCTCCACCTTTACGAACCATAACATTAAAGTGAACATAATCATTATAATCCAGGAAGAAGAAATGCATTCATGGGACATGTGCTGTTCTGCATTGAGTACTTTAGTACTTTAATTATATTTTGCCCTTCCTGATGCAACCTGGATGCGAACCCGGGGAGCCGCGGCGAGAGCGCTGTGCCTTTATATTTTCATGGTAATACAATTGTATTTTTCTTAAGTATTAATTTGAATACAAGACTTTTACTTGTAACAGAGTATTTCTACACTGTGATACTTTTACCTAAGTATTCAGTCTAAGCACTTCTTCCACCACTAGTGCTGCAGCCCAACCAGTGCTGGATTTTGAGGCATTGATATTAATTACTTCTGATCAGAATATATTGAGAGATGTTGCTTTGAAATGCTACCAAATAAAATCCAGACCTCTTAAAGTAGTTTTTCAAACAGTTGTAACCAAGATATATATACATATATGCTGACTGGAATATTTTGCTTTGGTAAAAACACTTGTCAGTGGTCTCTGGTGGATAAACTACAGACTGGTGGCCTGTCCATTAACTTGTCACTGAAGTATCTCAGTAAGGTGCTGGGCCACCACGTGCCCCCAGAACAGCTTCAGTGCACCTTGACATTGATTCTCCACGTCTCCGAACTCTACTGGAGGGATGAACATCATTCTTCCAGTAGATATTCCCTAGGTCTGTGTATTGGCAAGAATCTGGTCATATGATATGTATCATGATACAGGAGTTTTTAAATATAGTTTTAGAAAACTGTCCTAAAATAAGCATCACATCACCATATGCATAAAACCTACAGTAAAAACAAAGTTCATTTTTTATGCAGCCAGAACAGGGATCTGCGTTTGCACTTTCCATGGTCCCTGTAACATCCAACATAGCAGTAATTGGCATGAGAACTATTAATTAAAAATTGGTACTGTGTTTTTGAGAATCGATACAGTATCGCAATACTTGAGTGTATCAATTTTTGTTTTTTTAACCCCTAGATTCTTCCATGTGGTGTTTTGATGATAGTGGTGGAGACACTGTCTGATATGTCGCTCCAGAGTCTGTAATAGGTGTTCAGCTGGGTTGTGGTCTGGTGACTGTGAAGGCCATAGCATATGGTTCACATTGTTTTCATACTCGTCACGCCAATCAGTGACTCCTCGTGACCTGTGGATAGGGACACTGTCATCCTGGAACAAAGCACTTCCATCAGGACAGAATTGTTTCATCATAGGTTAAAGGCGGTCACTCAGATCAACTTGTATTGATTTGCTGTGACCCTTCCCACTAACACCTCATTTCTGCTATCAGAACCTAATGAGCAGTATGCCCCATACTTCACCCCGTGTAACCTCCTGGGTTGGTGCAGGCCATCCTGCTTTGGTTTTCTATTATATTTTTTTTTCTGTCTGCCTCTCTTTAGAGGAGGGAGGGGCTGCACCCCTCTCATACAAGCAGTCAGCTGAGCAGAGGGAGGACAGTCAGATGTGAAGGATCACTCCATAATGCAACAATCAGGCAGTAACAGAGACTGTATGAGCAGTTTATCAAACAGCTGTTGAACAAGCAGAACACAAATGTGCAGAAATGTGACGTCTTCACCACTTTGCCCACAGTCCACTCACTGAAGTCTCTGTTTTACTTCCCAGCACTGTTGCCTTCTAGGTTATTCCATCAGTTAATGTGTGTAAACTGTGTCATTATTAACAATTCACATCAACTTTATTTTCCCTGTCTGTCTCACTTCTGCTCTGTGCTCCAGAGACACTGGCCATGAAGGGCTTAACCCTCAATTGTCTTGGCAAGAAGGAGGAGGCCTACGAGCTGGTGAGGCGAGGCCTACGCAATGACCTCAGGAGCCACGTCTGTATCCTTCCATCACTCTTTTGGTGCTCCTGGCTTTCAGCTTAGACATTAGTCTACCATTAACATTCTGTAAGATTAACCAGCTGGAGTGTTAACTTGGGTTTCTCTCTTGGCGAGAGCATCAACCAGTCTTTAAATTAATCCAGTTTTCTAACACCTGGATAGGTTTTTTTTTTTTTTTCCCCCCTGTTTTCTTTTCCTGAACTCACCCTCCCAGGCTGGCATGTGTACGGCTTGCTGCAGCGCTCTGACAAAAAGTACGACGAGGCCATCAAGTGTTACCGCAATGCTTTAAAGTGGGATAAGGACAACCTGCAGATCCTTCGAGACCTCTCCTTGCTGCAGATCCAGATGAGAGATCTGGAGGGATACAGGGTGAGGGCTGCCAGAGAGCGTTGAGATGGGTTTAAAAATAGGAGTGTTGAAATACAGGAAACCTAGAGGGACGGTCCCAGGATGAGAATGGTGTGTATAGCTGCAGGGTCATCTACCCAGTTAGATTGTGAAAATAGACAGAGGAGCTGCTAATGGTCTGTGTAATCAAAGATAACTATTACTTCTTACAATTGTTTATTCTGTGTTGGCTGTCTCTGTCCAGGAGACCCGGTATCAGCTGCTGCAGCTCCGACCAGCCCAGCGGGCCTCATGGATCGGATATGCTGTGGCTTATCACCTGTTAGAGGACTTTGAGATGGCCGCCAAGATTGTTGAGGAATTCCGCAAAACGCAACAGGTAGACCAGAGGCTTAGATTAAATGGTAAATTACCTGGACATTACCAGGGATGTTCCTGTATAGAAAATTACGAAGCAGCTGCTTCCAACAAATTTCATACCCCATCCAGCTCTCAACATGACTCCGGTGGGTGTCTTCATGGAAAACACTGTTTTCTAACAAAAGTGGCACCTGGTGGATTTCTGACATTTGTAATTGTGAGTGCTGCTTTATGGCGATGCGGTGGTGCTGTATCGTAATC